ACATTTCCAAACCATCAAACAAAAACAACTTGCAATTGGGGACAGTTACTGAGAGACTGGATGAGTACTGGAGAATGAATCCTTTTGAAAATCAAATGGCTTATGGGGTTTTACTTTTAATAAACTTTCAGAAGACTAATGGAATTATCAGTTCATGATTTTAAACCACTTTTGGTGATAGATTGCTATAAGATTCTTGAGATACAACTAGGCAAAAATCGAAGGGACGCTTGTAACAAAACTTTCATTTCTATATACTTATTTCTCAGCACTTACAGCCTTAAAAAAAAACAGGAAGCAAATCAGTTTTAACTTTATTGTAGAAAAGTTAGCATTCCTTTATGGATACAGGAACTAATAATACATGAGGAGCCCATCCAGGGCTTAAAGAGATGACTTCTCAATACTTACTTACTTATTTGAGATGGTGTCTCACTCTGTTGCCCAGGCTGGAGTGCATTGGCACGATCTTGGCTCACTGCAACCTCTACCTACCGGGCTCAACCGATTCTCCTGCCTCAGCATCGCGAGTAGCTAGGACTACAGGTGTGCAATTTTTTTTATTTTTACTAGCAACAGGGTTTCACTGTGTTGGTCAGGCCAAGCTTTTCACACACAAACTAACCAGTCCAGAGCTGATGTCCCCAGCTACCCACTTCATCAGCCTTCCACAGGACTCATGTGGTGTAGGCCACTATTCCTCTGCCCTAATCACCCCAGGGCCAGGTACCAGACAACTAGGGACAGCCCCTATGACCAGAGCCTGCAGAAATTACTCACACTATAATAGCTAACCTTAACCTAGTTCACCTTGCCTCTCTCATTCCTTCCCATGGAAACCACAATAAAGGCTCTTGCCCAAGTTTTCCCATCACTCCTGCCTTCTCATTGACCACAGTGCCTCCCCATGTGCTCCTGCATGGCATAGTACTTTCCCTTCTCATGGGATCTGTGAGTCACAAACTGTCTTTTCAGTGGCAATAGACTCTTGACCTGTTGGTCTCTCCATACCTGAAGAATAATAAAACATATATGTATATATTTTAAAAATAAACTACAATTTAATTAAGCATAAAGTTACTTTCCCATTTGTCTGCAACCACAGTAGACCTGGTTTCCTGGTGGAGGAAACATCATCCTACAGGCTTGTTCCCACGGAATCGACAGGAACCCAGTGTCAGAAGGAGCCCTGTGAAGATCTGGTAACCTACCACAGGTTGATTCTCCTCTTTCGTTGGTAATCTGATGATGCAAAGGATTTCCTGGGCCTCTTGAGCCTCTCCCTTTCCCCCCGGGAAGCAAAGGTGAGAGTCTGAGTGGACCCTCCAACAAAGTTGGAGGACAGAGAAAAGCTCTCGTTTCAGATGAAGATCCACCCATTGGTGAGGGACCATATGGGGAATGTTCTCTGCCAGATGCCATATTTGGAACATAAAAGTGCATCAGGATCTCTTCCTAACAGCTTAAACTGTATTTCGGTTAATTTTTGTCTGCTGTGAGCATTTTCTTTCCTTAAATCATTGAGGTTTCCTTTAGCAGTCCGAGCTGCCAACCAATTACGATGTGCTTTCTTCTCAATAGGTAATAGTCCGCCGTTGATAGTAATGAATAGTTATCTTGAATTCTTCTTTGAGATCTTTGGCTCACTTTCTATAGGTCTCCAGCTTCTCGGTGGCATGGACGATCTTTTTGCCTACTTTAGAAAATTTCTCTTCTTTCTCTAACCGGCTGTTTTCCTCTAGTGTTAATTTCCTATAGAGTCTCATTTCATTTTCTTGATAGAATTGAGGCATTAAGTTTCTGTTGAAGCTTCTGATTCTCACTCTCTAAATGTGTGTTTTCTGACTGCAAAGATGCTTGTTGAGTCTGAAGATGTTTAATGCACTGTGCAAGCTCTTCTTTTGTTTTTTCAACTTCAGATAGCTGAAAATCAATTTGGTTTCTTTCTCCTTCCAAGATTTTTAAAGAAGCATTTAACTTAGCAGCATGAATCAGTTTCTTCAAAGCTCCTTTTGGAGGATGATCTAAGTAAGCACCATCTTCTGATTCGCTGTTCATTGCTAATTTCAAGTTCTCATCTTCCATTATGTCTTCTCCAAGCATAGCATCCCACTCTTTCATCTTCAGCAAGCGTTCAGTCAGAGTCTCGATGTGATTGTCTTTATCGTTTAGAACTTGATCTGCGTGTACTCTGGAGTCTTCCAATGTTATTTTCTGTTTATTGAGCTCACTCACGTGTTCTTTCCATACTTCAGCTTCTTGCAAAAACTGTTTCTGGCTTTTCTGAAGATGACAATTTTCGTTCAAGGCATCTTTTATTGCTATCTTCAGTCATTCTTCATTCATTTGAGATATCTTGAAGATGATTTTGGCTTCAGCTACTTGTGATTTGAGATATTCTGACTCATCTCCTAGAGACTATCATTTTTGAAATATCCACCATCAGTTGCTTTTGTTCAGAATGTTTTGATTTCTGTTCTTTTAACTCTTTTTCGAGACCAAGTATTTCATCCTCAAGCTCATCATTGGACCTGTTCAGCTTTTCACATGTTGCCTCCAAACTTCGTGCCTCTGTTGCGTCCTCCTCAAAGCTGGCCTCCTTTAAAGATGACTCTACTGCACAGCCTTTATGCTCTTTTTTTAATGAGGGTAAGGTTTTCAAGTAGTTTACATTTCTTGTCAATTAGTCCAGAAAGCACACCGGCAAGCTTTTTCTCTCTTCTCACATAAAGCCAACTCCTAATCGATCTCAAAACTTCTCCACAAAAAAATGGGAACAGCAAAAAACCCAACAATAGCTGCACATATCACGAATTCCCATGGAAACCTATAGGAATTAGAATCTGCTGTCATATTTTGAGGCAGTGCTGCCACAACCCTGTGTAGTTCCAGCAGGACCAACCCCAAGTAGGGCTGAGAGGTAGACCCGGGCTCCTGCACAGCGCTAAGGCTGCTCTGGTGGTCGCCACAGTAACCGGGGCAACAATAAGCAGCAGAGAACACACAGCCTTCCATTTAGAACCCAAATCCACACGTGGCAACCAGAGCAGACCACTGCGGAGCCCCCTGAGGGGGGAGCTAGGGGTACCCTTAAGCCCCACAGGCCCACGCTGCCCACCTCGCCCCTTGTTACACTTTACATCCTGAGGTAGCGCTAACACCTATATTTTAAAACAATACCACATGGAGAGAAAGACTCAGGTGATCCAGCATCCCAGCTATGCCCATTTCTCAGCTGACACCCAAACTAAATGTAGCCATGTGCATGAGCCCAGGTGAAGGCCTGCAGAACAACCTCTCAGCAGACAGAATGATAAGCAATAACAAGAGGCGGAGGTTGCGGTGAGCCGAGATCCCGCCATTGCACTCCAGCCTGGGTAACAAGAGTGAAATTCCGTCTCAAAAAAAAAAAAAAATTATTTTTATTTAGTTAACTTTTGGAACAAGGTCTCACTCTATCATCCAGGCTGGAGCACAGTGGTGCAATCACAGCTCCCCGAAGCCTTGGCCTCCCGGGCTCAACCGATCCTCCCACCTCAGCCTCCTTGGTCGCTGGGATTACTGGCATGTGCCACCATGCTAAGCTAATTTTTGTATTTTTAGTAGGGACGGGATTTCACCATATTGGCCAGGCTGATCTTGAACTACTGACTTCCTGATCTGCCAGCCTCGACCTCCCAAATTGCTGGGATTACAGGGGTGAGCCACTGTGCCTGGCCAGAATTTTATTTTTTATATTTAACAATTATTGGTATTATGATCTATTTTCTTGTGATAAATTATGTCGTACTAGTAATTTTAACAATTTAATCCAGAAAAAATTAAATTCTATGAGCAGGAAATATAAATTTCCATTTCTATAGTTCTTTCAGCAGTATGACAGGATGATCAGTAAGACTTTCAAGCATGAAAAAGATAACTGGGATAAAATTCTATCAGGAAAGTAGAATGAAGATATGATTTTATAAAGCATGTCTAAGAATTCGAGAGAAGAAATTTGGGTGTGGTCACTGACACATGAAATTAAACAAAAACAAGTAGCATATACCTACTGATATTTCGAGGTAGTTTCACTGCCAAAGAAACTAACATTGGATGTTCCAACTTCTAAACAACTTTCCTGTTACGGGCTGCATTCCCCAGCCCCTTTCCGCCACTCCCAATCCACATATTTGAAATCTAGCACCAGTAACTTATAATGAAACTGCATTCGGAGATAAGAACTTTAAAGATACAATTAGATCAAAATGAGGCCTTTAGTTCAGCCCTAATCCAATTTGACTAGAGTGCTTTTATAAGAAGAAGAAATTTGGGAAAGCGGGGCGGGGGCGGATAGATGATTTTCAGGAGGAAGGAGAAAAAGCATTGATGTAAACTTAGGATTTTTAAGAATTTTTTTTTTGAGACGGAGTTTCGCTCTTGTTACCCAGGCTGGAGGGCAATGGCACGATCTCGGCTCACCGCA